ATTTATTATTTCTTAATTTTTAAAATTTTGTTTTTATTATTTTGAATTTATTATTTTTTTCAATTTTTTTATTTCTTTTCTTATTTATTTATTTTTTATTTATTATTTTTTTCAATTTTATTTTTACTTATTTTATTTTTATTTCTTTATTTTTTAAAATTAATTTTTTTTATTAATTAATTAATTTATTATTTTTAATTTTTAATTTTTTAAAATTTTGTTTCCATTATTTTAATTTTTTATTATTTTATTATTTTTTATTTCTTTTCTTATTTATTTATTATTATTATTTTTGTTTTTTTTTTATTTTTATTTATTATTATTTTTTATTAATTTTTTGTTACTTTTTTTAATTTTATTAATTTTTTTCATTTTTCTGTTTTTATTTATTATTTTTGTTCTGATGTATTTTTCTTTAGATTCTAGCTAGTGCTATGCCTGATGGCCCATCGTCTCCTCACATGGCTGTTCAAAAGGTTAGTTCCAGTGATGGTCTTTGTTTCTTTGTGTCTGTCTATCTTAACTTTGAGTATGGGAGCCCCTTATTATAAAGAATTGTCAGTAGTATAAGTGTCTTTATTTTTAGAGTATTGCCAAGAAAAACCTCCTCCATTTCAAGATACCTGACCTCCAAAAGATAACAGTAAGACTATTCCCACTGTGGGGTGGGTCACAAATACATATAGTACATGTACATGTACAAGAGGGGAAGTAATAACCAATAAGTATGATTACATGATTCATTTTGTTTCTGTAGACATCCGAAGTGACACTCCGTATTAATGCTAGTTATCGCTGGAGGGACACTCACAGCGAAAAGTGCAACTGGCAGTTTCAATCGGACGAGATTAATTACCGCATGGCCCCTCCTCTGTATGGCAAGATCACTACACACGAAGAAGAGATGCACATTAAGCAGATCCAGCAGCAGCCTCCTCTACCTCCCCCTCCTCATTTCATTACTTCTGGTCCACTCCTTCATAATTTCCCTATGAATCATTAATCTTGCACCCGCGGCCTTCTTTTGTGTTTGGAGATTTTGAGACTATGTAGTACTGTGTTTGTATGCAAAGCATTTTTCATTTTATTATTATTTGTATTATTGTTTTTGTTTTTCAAAATCATTTACTACGGTACTCGTTTTTACAACGACCAAAAAACAATGTTTTTTACATGCAGGAAATAACATAGGCGTGGCTGTACGAGCCCCACCCTTATTTTTGCAAATGCAACGCATCATGAGCAATGATACCTGCTTGTTCCTTTCTCTGAACGAGGTGAGGACTTTGGGGATCATACGGAGCTCAGTGGCTCTTATATCTGCTCTCTCATGCCTTGGAGCTATAGTATTGGTCCTACTCCTGGCTAGGAAGCAATGGGGTCTTTTTAAATTTACCAAAAGACTTTCTCTCTACCTCACAATACTGGCACTCTTGTATTCTGTAGCAACCACATTCCAGTGGGTCTCAAGCAGTGCCATAGACGAACAGCCTGGAGGGGAGCAAGGCTGCAAAGCTGTGGCTTTCTTTGTTCAGTATTTAAGCTGGAGTTTACTTGTCTTTACTTTTCTATTGACACTCATTCTGTTCATTACAGTTTATAAGCGCAAGGAACTACACTTTACACGATGGGAGATTGGAACACTGCTAGCATCAATCTTATCGCCACTGATAACAGTATGGATACCATTTATCAATGACTCTTATGGTCTATCGGGTATATGGTGCTGGATAAGAAGTCACGATTCAACTAACTGTACGGTATTTCTTCCAGGAGTAATTGAGCAGATTGCACTGTGGTATGCACCTCTTTCAATACTAATGATAGCATCATCAGTACTTATGTTTATGACCATTGGCAAGTACATATACTCAGTATTCAAGTCTTGTGGTTACCAAAAAATTGATACTGATTCACTTTTGTATCAAAACAGCTTTAAGGACTACAGTCCATTAGTGGTTTATCCAATCGTTTTCTTTTCCCTTAATGTCATTGCTTTGTCAAGTCGAATTGCATCCACACAATATGTATTTCCTAAAGGTTTGCTGTACATTCATTCTATTGTTGATCCTTGTTGGGGATTAATTGCTTCAATTGCAACAATAATATACTCCATGAAGTTTCGGAACATGGGAAGCAAAAGCGGAACACTTCAATAAACTATATAATATTAGCAATGCATTATATTGTTAAAATTTTTAGTAAAAACTGTTTTTCGTTTTTGTACTATGTAGTACTGTATTTGTATGTAAAGCATTTTTCATTTTATTATTATTTGTATTATTGTTGTTGTCAGTTGTTTTTCAAAATCATTTACCACGGTACTCGTCAGTTTTTACTACTTATTACAACGACCCAAAAGAACAATTTTTTTACCCACTGGAATGTGGTTGCTATTGAATACAATAGTGCCAATATTGTGAGGTAGAGTGAGAGTCTATTGGTAAAATGACTCCATTGCTTCCTAGCTAGAACCAATACTATAGCTCCAATGCATGATAGAGCAGATACAAGAGCGACTGAACTCTGTATAACATGGGCGGTTGCAGAAATTTGGTTTGACTTGGGCATCAATAATTAGTGGGTGTGGAGTGGGTGTGGTTCCATACAATTTTGCAAGGAAAATGGACAATACTGATCTATAACTTCATTGAGATGATTTCTTAGCATAAAACAACAAAGAAGCCTGTTGAACTACCACAGTTTACACTGGATGCCCACACCAGAATCATGAATATAATTATTGGTCAAAAAGTCAACCTGGGCATTGCCCCCTAATGCCCAGGCCTGCAACCGCTATGCCGTATAATCCCCAAAGTCCTCACTTCGTTCAGAGAAAGGAACAAGCAGGTATCATTGTTCATGATGCGTTGCTTTTGCAAAAAATAAGCATAGATATTAGCAAGAGTAGATAATAATTAGAGGAGAGTGTCCTACAGGCTACTGTGCATTGAAGCAGGGGGTATTGCACACTGTGCAATACCCCCTGCTTCATCACCCGCGTAGAATTGAAGTGTCACATTTAGGATATTTTCAGTATTTTTGAGTAGTTATTCGAAAATAACTAGCCTTCTACCATGCCTAGTTGTAATTGACCAATCAGATTGCTTGGTTGTAGGTTCATAAATAACTAACTTACCTCTGATTTCCCGGGAGGTTAATAAATAATTTCCCGGGAGGTTGAATAAGTAGCCCGGGAGGTTGAATAAGTAGCCCGGGAGGTTGAATAAGTAAATTCCCGGGAGGTTGAATAAATAATTTCCCGGTAAATTAAATAATACGATTAATTGATTACATGTGTATTTTAAATTATAGTTTTGTGTTATTTGGTATTGTTTTAATAGTTTATAGTAATATTTGAGCAGTTAGAGAGGGTAAATGTAACAGTATCTGCAGTTGACCTTTTTTTGCTTGGAGGTGGCTCGTAACTGTTTTCCTTATCTTCATCTAGT